TGAACTGATGGGTCTTTAGTTATATCTTTTGATAGGTCCATAGAGAGGGTTTGAGTATGTCAGTGATATGTCTGATCACTACTTGATTACAGTACTTTGCCTCTAAGAATTCTCTTGCATTTCTCAATCTAGCTTGTTCTATTATTTCCAATTTCCCTGCTGAAATTACGCTCAAGGTTTCCAGAGAAATTATACTATGTCTTTTGACCATTATTTGATGCTTGTCAATACATTCAGCTAGGTTTGTTGTTTTTTTTAAAAAAAACTATATTCTATGTAGTGGGTGTTTGCATTTTATTTAATAGATGATTACTTTGGTACTGGATCTTTGAGTTCACTTAGGATTCTTTGTTTAGTTTCTGTGCCCTGGTTACTTCAAATTGGAGGACCTGCTAGTGGATTTGAAGATGCCCTTGATAGAGAGGACGCTTATCCTTTTTGTAGGTTGAGATGTTTCTGTCTGTTATTTGGATTGACGTGCACTTGAAATGCACTTGAAATTGCTTTCATTGGAATTGAAAGCCAACATTGTTGCTACTGAACAATAACCTGATCCCCAAATGTTAAAATATCTTTCTCTTCCTATAGTGTACTGTAAAAAGATAAATAGACTTCTTTCAGATGAAGACCTGTTAGTAAAAAATAATCAGTATGAAATGGTGATTATAATGCTGGTTTAAGATAAAGAAAGCCTAGGCTACCAGATCAAGGCTGAAAAAAATTAGATAGCCACTAGATGGCAGCCAAATCTTGTTATCATCCGCCAATACTGGCTTTTTCTTCAAATCTACTGTCAACCATACTGTAGAAATTTACTGGAGGACTTCAAGCCAATCATTATTTCCCATTATGAATCTCAGTATTTGACAGGATTTTCTTGCATTGATAAAATGGGAAATGGGAGTGCTGCCAGATTAACCATGAGATTGGAAGATAAAGAAGAAACAGAATATTATCAAACTTGGGACTTATTTTATCGATGGCTAGAGGAAAGAATGAAGGATTAGGAACTGAATATGTATTAGCGTTTTTAAACCAAGACAGAAAGGGGTGTGAGAATATATCAGAAGCATTCTAAGGGTGCAGGGTATAGAAAAGATTGGGAGCCGTTGAATAAGAGACTAATATAAGTTTCAAACACAATTTGCAGGATGACATGGTAACCATTTGGTAAGGCAAGTGTCCAATATAGACCAAGTAAAAAGCTTTTATTCTAGAACTTATAAGTTTATATCTTATAGTATATTTTTCTTAAGAAATTCCAAAGGCGCTTTTTCATGAGGCAACTGGACTTTCTTGTATTTCTTTGAAGACGTTTCGCTTCTCATCCAAGAAGCTTCTTCAGCTCTGACTGGTTGTGGGGAATAGAAGGATTTATACTCCTTGCAGACAGCTGGGCATTTGCATTCTTTTAGAGAGTCATTGAGGCCACCTGGAGGTTTATCTGTGTCGTCAGGGTCACCTGAGTAGTGCAAATAGGTGTGGAGCCTTTTTGGACTACTTATGATTATGACTTATAATTTGAGCAACTATAGAAATTACTTCAGAAAATCAGACTGGCAGGTTTTGGGGAAAGTTTAACTCAATGCAGGGGGAAAAATATATAGAATATTCCATTTCCATACTAATCCTCAGATTACCGGTTGCCATACCAAAGTAATCATGTTAGCTAAGAATTCTGAATTATATTCTCAAAACATTTTGAGGGCATGAAGATACTATAAATTGATTTAGAAATACAGCATTCTGCTAAAATACTATTCTTCCTTTTTTGACAATTCTCATGATGGGATGCCAAAATCTTGAACTTATTCTAGTTGTGAGTTCATAAAAGTATTCATGAGACCTGTCTTTCATGTGCCATCATTCTCGTAGTAGTCTGCTGTTCTTTTCCTTCCCACAATTCAGTGAAACTCCAAAGAAAACATCTTGGACATTTTCAAGGCAGAAAGCACGCAATGCCAAAGGAATTTTAGACTGATGGATAAAAATAAAAAAAATAATAAAACTAGAAAACCGCTTTGCCACTTTTAAACAAAAGAAGATCAGAAGTACTTTTTATTTACATTTCCAAATAATTTGGAGCACATAGATCAGTTTGATGTTACTCTCTATGTCCAGTTCAGCAAAAGTAAAAGTTCTATGTGTTTCCATGTACAGCGAAGGGTATTTATAAACACAACAGCACAAGTAGATTCTGGGAATACAGAGTTATGTGTCTATCATTTTGTGTGAAAGACTAACATTAATAGTACATGTAATCTTTGCACACCTTTTATTCTGCAGCTGTCAAGAGGTCAAGGAGTATAAATCAAGTTTTTATTCAGCAAGAAGGTATGTAGTTGGCACACAAGCTTGTTACATGCCAGTTCCAAGTGCTCTAGCTGAGCAGGCAAGGCCAAAGCTTTTGAATCTGTCTGTCAGTGGGACCTGCTTCCGAAGTTCTCTTCTGAAATGTATATGGTTTTCTGCATATATTAAGGTAGGCTTTGGTAAGCTACAGATTATAGTATTTTCCTATATTGTTGTCTCTTTAAACTCCAGTAGAGAGATCTTTATCTTACAATGGTTTCTGTTTTGTTGTAAAAATGTAATAGCAGTTGGGAACTAAAGAAATCTGAGCTAGGGTTACTTAATAGTAGATATTTGATAGTATCGAATCTGACTTTTAGAGTCGGGAGTAAATTATGATTCACCAAAATTTAAAGCATGGTTGTCTTGGCTAAAAATGCAGGCAAAGGTGTGCAGGATTATACCATAGGTCTTTTTAATCCAACATCTTGTTTTATAGAATAGTCTAGAAAATATCTCTAAATATTACTATGTCTTCTGCTGCTGCTGCTTATTTTCTTTTTCTTTCTTTTTAACCAGGCTAACTTTTCAGCTCTCTTTCTAGAATTACTCTTGCACTAACTGTTGTGATAAAGTTGCATTCAACAGCAAAGCCTCAACTTTAAGAAATACAGGATTTTCCTGTGACACTTAACTGGATCAATGAGGAAGCTATTGTGTTTTAGTATATCAAAAAGGAATCATATTAGTTAACAACCCCTCCTGCAAGATTAAACCAAACAGTTTAACCCCTAAAGCATGAACAGATTAACTAACTCCATCCATGGGTCATGTCATCGGAACACATAATTCCAATCAATTTTTCATACTTATTCCAACATATAAAAGAGCAGTCTCCTCTCTCCCCAAAAATTTTTACCACGATACAACTCACTGCTAAAATCTGGCAGTACATAACACTGATTACCTGGGATGGCCAAATGCACTTTCTGCTACCTGCTTTTTGTTCTGTAGAAGGACTGGTGACATCATGAAGTTTCCCAGGCTTAAGGCTTGAGGTATACTAGGAACTCTCCAGGGGGGGGGGAGGTGATTGATTGCAAACTGAATATGAGTCAATAGTGTGACAGATGCACAAAAAACAGATATTAATCAACATACTTGATTTTTGCATATGATTTATTGTCAAGATTGAAAGTTATAAATAGTTGGAAGTCAAGGAAGTTCCGTTTATTTACATGCACCCTACCTATGCTTTCTAGATAACATCTAGAGATTCTTCCAATATTACTATCTGAGCAGTCCAACTGAGTTTTAGTTTTACTGTGAGAAAATTCTTCAAGCTCAGGCTGAAAGGAGGACTTAAGGGTTAAAAAAAACTTAACCCAGAGGAGAGCAAGTTTTTAAAATTTGAACTGGAGAAAAAATATTATTTTCCTTTCCCTCTCTTTAGCTGCCTTCTCATTATCAAATCTCTCACCCACCAGGTATCAGCTCCCCAAGGCACCTATTTTCTTTAACTTATTAGACTGGTTGCAAGGACCGTAAACAGCAGGAGCCGATCGGGCACAATGCCTCTTCTCCATCATCCATTTGGTCTGGGCTGCCATTCCACAACATATCAGTGTAATGGAGGTGAGGACAAAGAAGCCAAGTTCTTCTTTTCCTTTCAGACAGACTGGGGCTATTCTTGGTGATTTAATTATTTTTTTTACCCAATTCCAAGTTAAAACTAAGATGAGCTAGAAAGAAGCATGCCTTTAAAGCAATAGCAACAACAATGCTACTACATGTATATGTTGTACTTTTGTAGATGAGGAGATGAATCTTAAGTCAGATTTATTTTTAGGTGTATAAATAGAATAATTTATTGTATACTCTACATTCAAAAAAATCGTTGCAAAATATGTATTTGTGTGTGTGTGTGTATGTATGCATTATGGTTTGTCACATAGTCAAGCCGATGTTTAGACTGGATTTGGCATTTTTATTTTTATCCACTTATCAAGCCTTTCCCAAGGACATTACTATATTACTTATTTAATTAAATTTATTGGCTATTCGACTTCAGCAGATTCTGAATGGCATGTATGTATTCCCATGGAACCCTAAAATGAGAACACCATGAAAGAATTCAAAGTCATTACAGTTTGGAACTCCACATCAAAGTTAATAAGAAAGTCTTTCTTCAGCTGAATAAACATTGGAGGGGGGAGTGGACAGAGATTATCCTCTATCCATGGTTTTTTTATAGTTACTCTTCCTAATTGTCCTGCTGCTACCTCATACACCAAATATTCAAGAAAGCTGACATGGTAAAGTTATATACAGCATTGAAGTGACCTCTTTGCAATGAGGATGCTTATCTATCAAATAAAGCCCTAGACAAAATGACAGTGACAGCTGCCTGGCAGCATTCACTTTGAATGGAACAGGATTGTCAGTATCCAGCATGTCATGATAGCTTAGAGCACCAAGACAAACATCTCAAAGCCCATTTTGCAAAATGGAATATTCTTTTCTCGGTTGCAGAAGTAATTTAGGATGCAATGTTTTCTTCTTCTGGGATGCATACTTTTTTGGCTTTCTCTTGCTGTAGGAGTCTTCTGAAAGCTCAGCCGTTTAACCTGTTGGCAGCTACAAAACAAAATTTGGGTCAGCAGAAGCAGCAAAAGAGAGAGAATTATGGGGGGAAAGAACTCCAAGGACCAAGGAGAGGAAAGCACAAGGTCACCAAAGAGAAGCCAGAAGCTACCTCTTTGGGAAGAAACTCTTCTTTCTGGAAAAGATCCCAGAACACTGTTAAAGCGTGGGCTCCACTATGTCAACCTGAACCTCGTCATGAAGGGGATGATAAAGACACCTAACTTTTTATGGGGACTACCACAAGTCCAGAAATTGAATCTTTCACACAACCAGCTGGTGGCCCTTCCTCCTGCTTTGGGGAAACTTGAGCAGCTGGTGGTACTGAACTTGTGTGGGAACCGCATAAAGTCCCTACCTAAAGAGATTGGACTGCTTAGGAATCTGAAGGTTTTATTTGCCAATATGAATTGCTTGACTGAAGTCCCGTTGGAGCTTGGACACTGTAAGAAGTTGGAAATTTTGAGCCTCTCACATAATTATATCTCTTGGCTCCCTTCTAGCATTGCAGAACTGGTCAACTTAAGGAAGCTGAACCTGAGCAACAATTGGTTTGTTTATCTTCCCCTGAGTGTGTTTGCTTTGATAAATTTGGATTTTTTACATGTAGGCTGCAACAAACTTGAAAATATTGGAGACAGTGTCCAGTTTCTAAGCAAATTGCAGATCCTGATTGCTGATTGTAACAACATTCATGCATTGCCAAGGTCTATCTGCTCAATCACTTCTCTCAAATTGCTAAATGTTGATTACAATGCTATACAAGCACTTCCCTATGAACTTTATTTGCTGCATGGATTGCCCAAAATTGCTTGGAATCCTCTGGATAAGGGACTCCATATTTTGCACAATCCTTTGTCAAAACCATTGCCACAGATTATAGATGGAGGAATAAACGCACTCTACAAATATCTTAAAGACAAAAATCAGCTTGCATAAATTTATACCTTGTTTTGGAATAGATCTGGTAGTAAAGCCTCAACTTCTGCCACAGGTTTTTTCTAGTCAATGTACAAAACGGATACTGGAATACAATTATAGTTGTTTTTTTTCTGGAAGCAGGTACATTGATTGTGGAATAATATTTTTTTTTCAAATAAATGTATCCTTTGAATACTGAAATAGGAGTCAGAATAACTCTCTCCAATAATTTAATTTTTTATCTGTTTTAATGATCAATGAAGATAATAGCAATAGCATTTTAAATGTTTTTTCTTCTTCTGTGAGACTTCACTAGTATTATTTTAAAGGGCATGACATGGGTTGTTATGCAGTTGTGACAATAACTTATTCAAAATGTTATACATATAGTTCACACATATATGCTTTTGTTACTGAAACACCAAAAACTAGAAGATGAATTGGTATTTATATTCTCTGAGTAATAGTTATTGTTTTATACCACCTGTCATGGTTTGTGCTTATTCCATTATTCTTCTAGTTTATTCTTATAGTTCTTATAGTTCTAGCTCATACAACCAGCTTTCAAAAATCATGATAGAAAGAATTAAGTTTGCTACTAATGAAAGAAATGTCCACATTCAAAACTACTAAGCATTGCAAAAAATAATTTTAGAACTCAGTACAGAAAAAATTTGTCAGCATGATAGAAACAGTAAGAGATCACAGAAATTTGTTCTGTTGCAAATACTAGGTGGAATTCACCTAGTTGCACAAGATTTAAGAAGTAGGGTCATTCTTCTAAATAATGATTCCATGATTATGATACAGTTTATAGTACTGAAAGCCAACTGCATTTGTTTCCACATAGCCCAGGGGTGTCAATCTGCCAGGCCGTGGGCCGGTTGCATTATACGGAGGCTATGCCCACCCCAGCTGCAGCAATGCAAAAAAAGTCGCGATACGTCTTGACATGTTACGTGATGTGGCAAGTTTGACACCCGTGACATAGCCCTTCCAAGATTTTTCATTAATATGAGCTGCAAATTATTTTACCTAGCATAAAGCTTATCATTGTTCTTTGCCTTCATGGTGCATATGCCCCAGGATGAGTCAGAGAGATGTCAATGTACCACAGAGTTCTTTTTGTGCTTTAGGCATGGACACCTATAACACTATAATAATATTATACAATATTATTATACAATCTGTTTCATGGAAGTATTTTGTGGCAGCATAAAGAAGACTGTAAAAAATTATCCACCCTGATTCTTTAACCCATTAACTTTCTTAAAACTCAAAATTAGGACCATTCCCATATTCAAAAGTCTAAATAAGTATGGAAGATTAGGGGGGGGGGGATAATTTAGTTGTGAATCTACTTCTGTTAATAATAAAATCAATCTACCTGGGAAAGTTGTGAATATGAATAAAGTAAAAGGTTTCGTAATCAGGCGATGTATCTGTTCATAGAAACACCACTCTAGGAAAGAATGCAATGCACTCTTCAAAGATTTCCATTTTTGTTCCAATTTACAGAGAAATAGTTTTTCTCACTGTTGTGCTTTTCTCACCTGTCACCATTACAGAATAACCTCCCAAGGGCTGACATTAAAGTTGAAATCCTGACAGCTTTTTAAAATAAAACTTTACTTCAGAAACAAAACTCTCTCTGTGAAATACACTTCCGAAAAACTATAGTTAGCAGTTTTAGCAATTTCCCTGCATGAGATGTATCAATGCAGAGCAAAGGAGGCTGACAGATAATTTGGGACTAACAGCATATTTCAAAAGTAAGCAGCTGCCCAGTTTAAAGAGGGTATAAACTCAATTTGTATCTCACTTGGAATTATTTGTGTAAGAAAATTAATTCTAAATATGCATGTATCAGTTTGAATTCTGTGGATGCTATTAGTAAAAAGAGAAGGCATACAACTGGTATGATATTCATATTTGACAAATAAGCCACCTAGCTAATCAACAGATGAGACATCAAAGCACATTCATTCCTGAATAAGTTATATTGTTATTAAAGTGATTATTTGTTTAATGAAACAAAATAAACTGGGTATTTTGTGATCCACTTAAGAATCAACATGATAAAATTAAGACATTTCAGTTCTATTTGTTGCAGAGTAAACAAAGACTATCTCACTGCTCCTTTGTACATCCCCTTACAAAGTAGTACATTTAATACTGGGGTGGAAAATCTGAATATCCATATGAATACAAACTTGGATAACCATTTGTGGAGGCTAATGGGATAAGATTAATTCTTGAAAGTTTGGGGTATATTTTCCTAAGACTAGGAAGACCCAGGATCATGAAGCTCATGCTCAGTCAGACTAACTGACCTCATAAAGTTCTGGTGGAAGAAAACTGGAGAATGGAATGCTATGTCTATCAACCTATGCTCTGGAAAAAAATATACCTCTTTTAAATTATTTATTCAGGGGGACTCCAAAGCTAACCTATGAGGAGGGAGCATCCTTAGAAGTATGAGATTGAAAAAAAATAAAAATGATGGCAAGAGTATATTCAATATTGTATTGTATTGTATGTCAAAATCACAACTAATTTCAAGAGTAATGATTAAGTGATTTTATTTGAAACATCTTAAATACTGAGATGTTGAGTCTTGTAATCAGCTGTGAATAGTTGTGTGTACGAGTCAGCATTTAGTACTTTAAATTCTTGTGATATATACTACTTCTGTGGGAGGAAATATCCATGCATCAATAAATAAGAATTAGATCATTACAATTAATTCTGTGGTTAGTTGCATTTCAGTTTGTATACCTGTTTAAGGGGAAAAATGGCACTCTGAGAATGTTTAGGTTCTGTTTTACAAGATTAAAAACCAGCAGATGGTGTAAGGGAAATATATCCAGATGGAAAATGAAAATTAATAAAAATCAAAACATGTTGGGGATGCAGGGAAAAAAGAGAATATAAAATAGAACAATTGAAAGCAGTGAGGATACTGAAAAATGGTGGCACTTCTCTGGTCCTAATAAAATTATTAGGTCTGGATGAGCCAATTGATTTACCCCAATAAGATACTTGTTGATTTACCCCAACATGATAGTATTTCCCAGGAAGGGGGCAGAATTAATTTCCTTCAGGGAAAAAAGGGGCATATTTTGTGTCTGTGAGGTACCTGCTTCATCTCATCCTTGTCTTTTAGTACTTTCAAAAAAGTTTAAGAGGTTTTTGCAAACACTAAGGAAAGAGGAGAAACACAACAAAGCAACATGGAAACGTTATTTGCTTTTGGAAGAGAAGTGGTTACCTTGATTCATAAAACAGCTTTGAGGGGGGTGATTTGTTTGAATGGTTAGCTGAAGCAAAACAGGTTTCAAAAGTTTAAAATCCATTTAACTAGAATAAACATTACATCATTTTCTGGTTAATTTCTATTGGAAATACAAATCCTTGAACACCAAACATGGCCTTAATCAAACCTCCTTCCATAAATTCAATAGAACTTACTTCCAGATACACATACATAATTACAAAATCTGATTGGATCTGCAAATAGGCAGAGTAACTCTTTTGCAACATATTTTTAAATACTACCCAATCTTTACCTATAGGGTTGATTTGTATTTTATGATTGTTCTGTCCAGCAGGAAATGCTCTCTAGGAGGCATCTTATACAGGGCAGCAGGTTTTAGGTTTGGTTGTAGCAATAACTATGGTCAACATTACAATGTATGCAAACATTTGAATGGCATCAGCAGCAGAAAGACATTATTTAGAGTCAGTTACTTGACAGCATTCTTAGGAAGTACCACTAAACTAGATAGATATCATTTGTATTTTCATTCAAAAAAAGTGCTAGGTTTTGATCTGTACCCCAAAACCATTATATCAGCGGTTCTCAACCTATGGGTCGCGACCCCATTTGGGGTCGATCAACCATTTCACGGGGGTCGCCAAGCAAGGCTGTCTGCCATTTTTCCCCCCTTTTCCGGCGGGTGCCTTACCTCCCTTGAGCTGGGCCAGCTGGTGGTCGGCCTGCACCGTCTCTGCCACTTGCCAGCTACGCCTCGGCCGGCACAGGGGGCGGAACCACGCATGCGCAGCGCTCCCGGGCAGGGAAAGTCCTCGACTTACGACTGGTTGGGTAGTCCTCGACTTACGACCGGTTTAGTCCTCGACTTACGACCGGTTTAGTCCTCGACTTACGACCGGTTGGGGTCGCGGCATTAAAAAGGTTGAGAACCACTGCATTATATCAATATAATGAAAATGAATTCCGCAGTTTTACATCTCTCAAAGGATTCATGCTAATCACAGCAATTATTTAGTAATCTTGTAATTAAATATGACAATTATTTCTTGTTGTTTTTATGGATATTTCACATAATTGTTCCTTATTTTCAAAAGTGACAGGTATATTTACCCAAGCACCTGCAAAATGCAAGATAAGTAATTTTGGGTGCGTGTGTGCATGAACTCTGGTTCTGCTCAATTAAGCTTTAGCTCCCTTGATTTCATTGCAATTTAAGGAGCACAACTTTGTGCTAAATTGCAGCTTAATCAACACAGAGATCCTTTAGCCTATAAGCAAAGAATGGATTTCAAATTTATTGCTTCCTTCAATGTTTAGGATATTGAAATTCCATTTCTTATCAAAGAACGGATTTGAATGTTTTTAAGTGATCTTGGCCTAGTCATTTCCTCTTAGCCCTAGGAAGAAGGTAATGGCAAACTACTTCTGAAAAACCTTGCCAAGAAATTTCAGAACTTGTCCGGGGGGGGTGGGGGTGTCTTCAAAAATTGGACATAACTGAAAAGAAGAAAAAATATCTCATAAAAGAATGAAGCAAATATGTATAGCCCATCACAATTATGTATTTCCCATATTTTTTTTATTCTATTTGTTTATAAAATAATACTGAAATTAGGAATTGTCGTGCTTCCTCCTAAATATAATTCTTATGGCCTGATCTGAATATGATTCCCTAAGGGAGGAACAATAATTAGGCACTTACAGAGCCAATAGGTTAGGCCCAAAGATAGAAGCTGAACCAGGATCAGACCACTGTAGTCTTTTCCTTCTGCACTGTTGAGAAAGGTGTTGAGTAAATATCACATAATATGAAGACACTGAATTGCCTCTTTGCAAGAGAAGCCACATTGGGAATGATAGGCCACTTAAGGGTAGCTCAGCATGCTGAATAACCTTGCAATTAGATCAAGCTTAATGAACACTTGCTGAGTTAATTCTGTTAACTTAATACATGTATATCACTTTGCAGTCAAATCAGGTTCCATGAGCATCATGTGAGTAAGGGTAAGGTAGATATGGCTCTTTGCTGGAACTAATGTCTGATACTTGTCAGCCTGTGCAACAACTGGTTATCCTTAAGTACTGATGACCCTTGGTATAAGCTTTGTTGCCTGGATTGTGACTTTTGCTCACATGTTTTTACCTTTTGAAACCTCAAGTAAGGTTCAGATTGATTTATCTTTAGATTTCTGGACTCACAAATTATTCTACTGTTGGTATTTGTTTTTAAAAAAATTGATTGTACAGCTACCATTTTGCTTATCCTAAGCTCTGTTAATGCCAATATACATTTTTGGCACTCAAATAAGAAAAAAAAATCCTTTTTGTTGCTGTCACTAAATGATTTTGGTTTTTCTTCTATTCACATTTATAAGTGTTAGCAGGCTTTGTATTTTATTTCCTGCTAACTGGAATAGAATATGTTTACCTGTAAACTCTATTAGTGATGTGAATAGACGTTTGTAAGTTAGCTTTATGGAATGTGTCTAAACAGTATTTAAAATAATCTTGCAAATTTTAAAGGGTAGTCCTTGACTTACATTCAAAGTTACAACAGTGCTGATGAAGAATGGTTCTCTA